GAGAGAGAGAGAGTTAGAGAGAGAGAGAGAGGCAGACAGAAAGAAGGGGGGGGGAGAGACAGAGAGAAGCGGAAAGGAACGATGAAAAAAGATAGATAAGATGACATAATATAACACACACACACGCGCACACACACATACACACACACACACACACCAACACACATGCACACACACGCTCAAAATCACACATACACACACACCAAAGGAACACACACACCAAAGGAACACACACACACTCACACACCAACACACACCAACACACACACACACACAAACATACACACACAAACACACGCACCCACACATACATACACACACACACATCAAAAGAAGACATACACACACCAATACATACACACGCACACACACAAACACACACAGACACACAAACACAAACGCACAAACGCACAAACACACAAACACACAAACTCACAAACTCACAAACACACAAACACACAAACACACGCCTCTGACACTGAGGGGGAAAGTTTTTAGAAGTGAGCACACCTAGCTTCATTTTTTTTGTTTTTGCTTGGAGTCTCTGTTGTCACCACTCATTTTGAAGAAGAAAGAAAGAAAGAGAGAAAGAAAGAAGGAACGAAAGAAAGAAAGAAAGAAAGAAAGAAAGAAAGAAAGAAAGAAAGAAAGAAAGAAAGAAAGAAAGAAATTAAGGGAAAAAAACAAATGTGAGGCAGCGTGGTGGAATCAGGCTCTCGTCAATTTTTGGGCATGTTGAGTTATTGGTATCATCTTAAAGCTTGTTCACCTATCTTTATTTGGTTGAAAAAAATATCCATTTATCTTGAATACAAGTCGAGATATTTGTGAATGAATAATGTGGGGGTCACCTCTTTTCAGAGGTAAAATTAGTGAGAAAAAGACCGCCAAAGATTAGTTATTTCCTTAAGTTAAGGGTCCGTGGAAACTGAACATTTACAATGTTTATGCGTTTAATCAACGTTTTTCAGAAAAATCCACACAGAAATGATTTCTTTAATGGGCATGAAAGGTGTTGAGCCAAAAAACAAATATCTGGTAAAAATTCACAAAACTGAGGAAAAATGCAATTTTCTTCACTTTAATTTTTTTTTTTTAGGAGAGCCTGATTCCACCACGCTCCCTCACAAATGTGCTATAAAACAACCGTGGAAAAAATGTCTTAGAAAAAAGTAAGTTCAAGCTTTAAAAATAAATCTAGTAACGCTTAATTAAAATGGAAAGAAAAAAGAGATCCTTACCCAAAAAATAAAAAATAAATAAATAAATAAAACCCACACCCCCATTAAAAAAGGAAGACAAAAAAACAAAACAACCC